TACAAAATGTTTCATGAGCCAGAAGAAGAAATACCCAAGCTTACATTCCTCTGAGTTTCTGAACAGCTTCTTTTGGACGTCAGCGTGGGGGATCGTGTCTTTGCTGTAGTGGCCCCAAAACTCTGGAACAAGCTTTCTACAATATTATCAGTGAAAGCAGTTAATGCTTTGAGCTTTTACCCTAAACCAGGGGTCTGCAGCCTGTGGCTCTAGGGCCACATGAGGCTCTTTGGGCCCTCTGCAGTGGTTCTTTGAAAATGTGGCCAAGCATGACAGGATAAAATTTTCTGTTTGTTTTTTATACCCACAACAAAAATCAGTTGTATGCAAATATTTGCTCAATACTACTAATCCAAAAAGTAAAACCTGTAGATTAGCTCATGCTAGCCTGTTGTTTACTTAAACAATCCGACTTATTGCTACGATCTTTCTGTCAAATCCATCAGAATTAACTTTTAAAATTTTTGAAAACTACATAATAATAAAAATTAGAAAATAGTTTAGTTGTACTAGTTTTTATGAAATTCAATATAAACTATATNTTATACCCACAACAGAAATCAATTTGTATGCTAATATATGCTCAATACTACTAATACAAAAAGTAAAACCTGTAGATTAGCTCATGCTAGCCTGTTGTTTACTTAAATTATCCAACTTATTGCTATGATCTTTCTCTCAAATCCATCAGAATAACCTTTTAAAATTTTTGAAGACTACATAAGAATAAGAATAATAGTTTAGTTGTACTAGTTTTTTATGAAATTCAATATAAACTATATAAAGTATTTTTTGTTTACATGAAAATAGTCTTTCCATTTGTCCTAATATGTAAAAATAATAATAAATATTAAAATTCACAGTATATTTTTTACTTTTATAATGTCACCTCCACTGTCCGTAAAGGTTCCAGAAAAGGCCTCAAAAAGGCCCGCGGACCACCAGTTGATAATCACAGACGTAGCTTGTTTTGCAGCTCTGGACACATTTTATCAGTGAGCCGAGGAGCAGAAATGGCTCTTTTGATRGTAAAGGTTGCAGACCCCTGCCCTAAACTGTCATTTATGTCATTTAGATTATTTACTTGTTTTCATGTTTGTAATTTATTTTTGTTTTAAATTGCTTTTGTTGTAATATTTTTTGACACTGCTTTGAGGATTTATTATATGACGCTTGGGTCCTGTTTGGTTGTATTAAATGTGCTTTCCAGATCAATTTGATTGATTTGATTTAGCTGTGGATCAGTGGTTCGAGCAGTCGTCCTCTATCGAAAGAGTCGGAGGTTTGATTCCACCAGTATGCAGCCGCATGTCGAAGTGTCCCTGGACGAGACGTTGAACCCCTCACTGCCTCCGATGAGCCTCATCAGTGTATGAATTCAACCCAAAGCACTGATTAGTGTCTATGGAATAATTCATTCAGATTAGATTAGTAGAGATAGTGTTGTATGAATGTGTGTGTGGGTGAATGAAGGGCACAGATTGTGTTGCAGAGAGCCCACATGGCCGACGGGTGTGGGCCAGGTCTGAAGCTGGCACTGCTGGCTGACTGCAGGCATGGCGAGTGGTTTGTCAGTCAGATGTGGGCCAGCTCTGGCAATGGTGGCACTGTTTTGAAGATGGCATGCCACAACTGGCCCAAAGGATCATCATTCTCTGCTGTAGCTGGGCCAAACGTTGATGCACGATGTGGGCCAGACAAAATGTGGGAGCACGGTTGGCTATAAAGTGCTTTAAAAGTACAATTTATTTACTATTTAATTTGATTGGTTAGAACTTGGGGTGGGAGGTCCTTTATTAAAAGCTTTAATCAAGTGAAAACACAACTCAGAGCAGGAATAATTCTGTTAACATTTAATACAATAAAATCAGTTTGAACCTTCCCATCATTCTGTCCCACAAAGACAAAGAACTAATGCAGCCAAACAACATCTCAAACACCCAACGGGCTGATTTCACTGCAGTTATTTTCACTAAGTTTTACTGTTGGAGCTGTAATCCACTTGTTTACAACTGTCCTAAAGAAAGATTTAAACAGGTCCTGAAATTTTATGTACTGCTCAGCTATATGGTTCTCCAAATGTGCGTTCAAGTCTAAAGGTTTGCATAAAGCTGGCCTTTTGATGACCTTTTGTTGTTGTTTTTTTTTTAATTCCTCCAGGCAGTCGATAGCTAAAACACAAACTTCTCATGGACTGATAAGAATGCATGATCCACCAAACAGCAGCGCTGGAATGATAAAGGTCAGGGTGTAAAGTTTTAAACACAATCATGCTGCAGTAACTGGTATTTAAAACCTAAACATTTTTTTATATGCGAAGACTTGAGTTTCAAAATTGAACCATGTCTGGCCAAAAAGAAAAAAAAGATGTTGCCACCTGAGTTTAACAGAAGCTGAAAGAGCCTCCGATTGGAAAAGGACTGCAGCAATTAATGTGTTATACAGCTGACAATAAGTCCTTTAACCCTGACAGATGGAGTGAGCAGCTTCTCATTCCTTCAATAACCATGTGACACAACTGTTTAAGGAGCCCTCTCACATTCAGTGACAATGCCAGGATTCAACAGGCTTAAATTGGGTAAAAAACTGGTTCAGGGAGCTCGATGAGGCATCGTTTTCACGCACGGATCAGCCAACATGGATCCAAAACCCACATTTTCAGGATGCGCCAAAAATGACGCGCAGTGAATGTGTTGACTCGCTCGTAATCAAAACGTGTATTAGGACAAATATTCAGTGCAATGCAATGATTGGATAGAAATACTTTCACAATGTGAAGCAAAGTAGTGCTGGAATCAACCATGAAAGTGCTTAAGCAACTTAAAACAAGGGATACTGTGTTTGTTGTGAACTTTACTAGAATTTCTTTTTAAAAAAACTTACAAGTGAAGAAAAAAAAGTAATTTTTGTAACGCATCTAAAACATGACACTGTAAAAATTGCCCATCTCATCAAGTTTTATGATCTAATATCCAGACAAAAAGTATTTCTGATCTTGTTAGGCAAGAATAGAATGTGTTTGATTATTAATCTTGTTAGCCTGGAAATTTATCCTTATTTCAAGAAGTCATGTGTAATTGTTTTACTGCACTGGCAGATTATTTCACTTAATTTGAGATGATTCAGACCGCAGTCTAGTTTTTTAACTTATTTTTATTTGGCAATATTTTGCAGTGCATCAGTTAGATTTGAATTGAATTACAAAGATAAAGTAAATTTTGAAAGTACTTGTTTTTGTTCTAGTATCTTTAAAGAGATAGTTCAGATCATTTGAAGTGGAATTCTGTGAAAAGGTGATTATCTTATCTGTTGTAGATAGTGACCCACTGCTACAGCTATCTGCTGCTGGTGGTATTTTTGCTTGTAAATAACCACTTCTTTTACTGTAAATGTAAATGTTGATGGCAAAAAAATAGCATTATTGGTTTAGCTGAATGTAAACTGTACATTATTAAAATCAACTTTATCGGTTGTTTAAGATAAGTGGAACATTCTGACCTCATCTAAAACATGTTAATCATTTTATGAAGATAAACAAAAGATACTCTAGAAGCGACTCTCTGTGCTGCTCGACGTCACAAACCTGTTGGGATTGTTTTGTKTCTGATAATGTGAGACTACGTGTATAAAAGAATTGTTTTTTTTTTCTTTCTCATCAGCAGAGCAGCTGAAAATGTAATCAGAAGAGCAGAGATTGGCAGTGCGTGATTTTCTGTGATTTTCACTGTTCTCCATATTTGCAACATGTKAATAAATTACTGAAGTTTACCTGATTTATTTATTTTTTTTACTACAGTAAAACTGACAAAGATGAATAAAATGCTGTCTTTATGAACAGCTGAGACATTTTTGAGGATGGAACTGTTTTAAGGCAATAACAGTCATAAATCATGTTGTTCAGGAGGCCATCTACAACAGGTAAGATACTGCTCACTTTTCCAGTGAACTCCACTTTAACACATGTAAAACCTACTTTATAAACTGAAATATTCCCCAACCAAAAYCTTATGAAATTCTCTTTTAATTTTCCTATACCCTGTCCAGACATTAAGTWAATTTTTTTCTCACAGAAAGAGTACATGTTTTGGATCTGTGCTTTCACGATAGAATCGTAAAAATCTGCCTTTATGTACATACAAATACTTTTAGTCTTTATTACTAAAGAACAGTTTATGTATCCGGGGTGGGCCCTGGTCTCTTAATGGAGCGTTTGAACTGCTCGGCTGCGGTGTCTTTTATGGTTGAGAAGTCTTTGTGATTGTTAAAGTTAAGACACACTCAGCAAACCTAACCTTTGGAGGTCACCATATTTGGTCAAGAGATTGATTTTTAGAAAGAAAAGAACAAAAAAAAGCAGAAAAAAATCCAACATCAGAGCAAGATGGTTTCATAAGATTCATTTCCCCCAATAAGCCATCTGATATCTGATAATGGAGCAGGGGGTTTGGGGAGGTCCTATATATTGCTTGAGACCAAASTAAAGCCTCCACTGGCTCTCAGCCCATTAAATCAGTCACTCCTCACTAACTGAGCTCAAATCCAACATAAGATTACTTGGAAGAATCTCTCCATTTTTGACCAAACTAGGAATTCAGCAGGAATATCTCAGATTTTAATCAATTCCACTTTCTGAACTTCACTTTTAGAGGTGAATGACTGGAAATCTTAATTTAAATAGTTTTATTTTATTATTATTATTTCGTTTGTTTGTTTGTTTGTTTGTCATGAAAAATATTGCATATATAATATGAATAAATCACGTGCTGTTTATGATAGAAACAATGCACGAAAAACCCCTAAAACTATAGAGCACAAGCCGGACACTGTCCAGTTTCCTCTCCTCCAAGTGGGAAAAAAATAAGGGTGTCAAAAGTGCCACCATCTCCTTAAATGTGATGCAAGACCAAAAGCTCTATACTGTTGTGCCAGAAAACCTGAGTCCTGAGGAGCCGCTTCTTTGCGCGCGCTGCGTCATGCGCACTTGTTTTTTTGGGGGGGATGTTTGGTCAGTTTGAGGCAGCTCTGTGTGAGGGAGAGAGAGCGGGGAAGCAGGAGAACTGTTTCCACCCTCAGTTCTTCACTGAGCCCTCAGGAGGGAGGACGACTGCGTAATGAGCTGAAATTAAAAATTGAAAGAAAAAAAAGGCAATCAGGGTCTATTTGAGCGGTCCTGACCCACTGTGGGCATGTAGACCGCATTGGACCACTTTTTCAGCCGAGGTCTTTTTTTGAAGTTGCGGTGATCTGAAAGCCTGCTATGGAGGACGTCGTGAATCAAAATGAGTTGGAGCATTGACAATGTCACAAACTTGTGGAAAAATGGTTCCTCGGAACTCGACTTCGCCAACAGCAGCAGCAGCAGCAGGAACAGCAGCGGCTCTGTGGGGAACGGCACGCAGGTGGACCTCAGCCGAGCCATCCCGCTCGGTTTGGTGCTGGGGGCTTTCAACGTGTTCGCCATCGCGGGCAACATCCTGGTCATCCTCTCCGTGGTGTGCAACAGGCACCTGCGCACCCCGACCAACTACTTCATCATCAACCTGGCCATCGCTGACCTGCTGCTGGGCACCACGGTGCTGCCGGTGTCCGCCACCCTGGAGATCCTAGACCGCTGGGTGTTCGGKCGGATCTTCTGCGACATCTGGGCAGCGCTGGACGTCCTGTGCTGCACCGCGTCCATCATGAGCTTGTGCGTAATCTCCATCGACCGCTACATCGGCGTGAGCCACCCGCTCCAGTACCCGGGGATCGTGACGGAGAAGCGCGCTCTGCTGGCCATGCTCGGGGTCTGGGTGCTGTCCGTGGTCATCTCCATCGGACCCCTGCTCGGCTGGAAGCAGCCGCCGTCCCCGGACGACTCGGTGTGCCTGATCACCGAGGAGCCGTTTTACGCGCTCTTCTCCTCCCTCGGCTCCTTCTACATCCCGCTCGCCGTCATCCTGGCGATGTACTGCCGCGTGTACATCGTGGCCAAACGGACCACCAAGAACCTGGAGGCCGGGGTGATGCGCGAGAGGATGAACACCAGCGAGCTGACCCTCAGGATCCACAAGGGCTCTCAGGTGCAGGAGGACCACCATTCCGGCAGCTCGGGCGCAGCCAAGGGCCGCGCGCACCAYGCGAGGAGCTCCCTGACTGTGAAACTCCTCAAGTTCTCCCGGGAGAAGAAGGCCGCTAAGACTTTGGGAGTTGTGGTGGGCATGTTTATCCTCTGCTGGCTGCCCTTCTTCCTGGCCTTACCCATAGGTAGGTCCAGATGATCCACAAAACTGCCTTTATTCTGTCATAATACAAATATTTTCTATTTAAAAACTTTATGAGTCAGYTAATGAGATTTAGAGAAAGTTATCACAGTTATATGGTCATTTTAAAGCTCTGAGCTCTGTATGATAAAGTGACTCTATATTATTCCCTTGATTCAGACCGTACAGGCGCATCTATTTCATATACACTGTAAAACCTAACCTGTTGCTTCAGCTTAGAATATGTGAGTGAAAAGGCTGCTTGTGAACAAATATTATTGTTCAGGACTTTATGGTCTTTTGACTTAAAATGTCTTGTTGGGTAAATCACCATGTTTGGTTTAAATTWACAAACAAATTAAATTCAGTTTAATAAAATGTAAAGCTGTCTAAACTTTGTTCCAGTGAAGCTGACCTGGAATACTTTATTGATTAAACTGCTTAGTAAATACATATATTCAGTCTGGTTGTAAGTATTTAGTTAATTTATTGGAACTTTGAACTAAAAAAAATCTATTAACAAAAAAAAAATTGTTGTTGCTTCATTTCGTCTTAGAGGACTTTGGTGCTTTGATCTATACTTGTTCCTCTTGTTTGACAGAAAGAAATTCTGAACTCCCTGAACATCATGTACTGTGTTAAAACTGCCTCCAATCCAGTGAACAAAGCAACATGAAGGGCAGCCTTAGCATCGAGAGGGAGGGGCAAAACGGAAAGAATGCAAAATATCGGAACGCACCCACCACCCTGACTGACTTTCATAACATGATGTAATTATAATCCAGTTAGGAAAATTAAATTAACTTAACTTGCTTTGTTTGTAGCCAATACATTTTGAACTCCTAATTTAATTTGAGCTAATAGTTTGTCAAACTGACAGTTTAACCTGACGCCACAGACAAAATTTCATTTTACAGTGTAATAACCCTGAACTGAGAGATAAAATCAGAGAGTCTTAACTACTGGTTTTTTAATCAGTTCATTATCACACAGAGCAAAGATGTTTTTGSTTGTGCATGTGTGTAAAAACCTCAAACAACTACACACATTTTAATTAACTTAATTAAATTAATTGCTGAATATCTACAACTGGTAACGCTATGTGAATGTGGTTAAAAACTATATAGCTGTAACTCAGTTGAGCTAATTTTGGTGTGGTAGTGTGGAATAATGCTCAACATCATTTTCAAGGTCTGACGAAAATGGCAACAACTCATTTCTCAACATGAGATGATTTTAGTCATAACTAAGGCATGAAAGGCATATGAACTTCTTCAAAGAATAATAATTTAATAACTACTATTTTCATCTTTTGTAACAGATATTGGTAAATCATTAGTAATTAGAGATTAGATTTATGGCTCTTTAAAGGGAGCTGGATGTTCTGGATCCATTCATTTCAAAGAGGTTTTGGTTAGTTTCATCATACAGCCTTCGTCATTACACACCACATGAGTTATTGAGAGAATCGTTCAAAAGATTTTGGCTTGATTGTGATTGTCACATCTCTGTTAGTAATCTCAATCTAATGAATGACTGGCCCAAATCATCTAGATGGAACTTTTATTTACCCATTTTGATTGGTCATCATATGTTTGGCATAAACGAGGTTCCCAAGGTTGGGATCAGGACCCCCACTGTGAGTCCAGAAACATCAAGGTGTTGTTTTTGAAAGGATTTTCAGAATTAATTAGATTTTAAAATGTCTACTATATATTGCCTTATCAGTGTGGAWAGTGTACTTAAAAATGGATTAAATCAGTTATTTTGTTTGACCTGATACCAATGTTTATCACCCAAAAATAGTTGGGGGTGCAGGTCTTTGCTACTGTTATTTTGTGGGTTAAAAGCTGAAAAGTTTGGGAACTATTGATTTGGATCAGTGTTTCCCAAAGTTGGGGTCGGGACCCAAAGTGGGGTCCCGAAACATCAAGGTGGGGTCCTGAAAAGATTTTCTGAATTAATGACATTTTTGCCTTAGTTGTTACAAAGGAGTGAGGTTAGTYTATTTAAAATGGATAAATGTAGTATAAAAATATTGTTACTATGCTCATATTTAGTTGACCTGATACAAATGTTTATCATCCAAAATAGTTTGGGGTGCAGGTCTCTGTTACTGTTATTTTGTGGGTCAAAAGCTGGAAAGTTTGGGAACCAGTGATATAGATAATCCCAGTCACACCTACGATAAATAGAAGTCCTCTGACGCCAGCTTCTGCTTCTATAATTACTTCAGTTTGCATCCTTTTTTATTCTACAGACACAATGTTTTTCAAACTGAAAGATTTACTTCGTAAAGTCAAAACAAAGCCAAGACTACAGTGTCCAAACTTAAGGACTTTAATAAGCGGTGAAAACACTTTGAGGAATTCTAGGAAGAATTCCTCGCAGGCTTACCCAAACAGAGACTGTTATCTTTGCAGTGTTCTCTCAGTCTCAGTTAATCTGGAGGTGGCCTCACTCTGATCTGCTTCGGTTTTCTCCAAAGCCCKCCGTCGATCCCGCAGAGACTGTGCGATGCGACAGACACGGCCGGGGCCTGTTTCAGAGGACATTTAAACAGTGCAGTGCAGAGAAATGCCCTGTTGCCCGTGCAGCTGTGGGGCGAGAAGGTTAAGAAAACATCTGGTTTATGTCGCAACTGCACAAGGCAAAAACACACGCGAGGGTATTGTACTTTCATTTAAATTTTAGACGATCATTTGTCTGATTCTCTGACCCGCTCGGGGTTCTGTCAGCTATTATAAGTATGTGTGTGTGTGTGTGTGTGTGTGTGTTTATTCATATGGGAGTGTGTTTATGCCTCTGGCTTCAGGCTGCAGCTCATCACATCTTCACACATTAGTCCTCGGGGAAGGTGGTGTCACATGGTGGGGCTTATTTAGCCTAGAGGTGTTCTCAGTGAGACACTAAATGTAATTTATCCAAAACAGGAGGGGCCTCTTTATGTAACACTACAGAACAACCTGCCAAGACCCCAAGACGTTTGTCCTTACAGTCTCACGTGTGGAATACTGATAAACTGAAACAAAGCATTTTACTGGCTTATTTATGCGCATTTTAAACGGCTTCAGTGGGGCAGGAAAAGAAACGTAGAGAAGTTCATCATTCTCCTGATGGAGTATATAGGCCACAAAATGAAACTATTTGTTTCTTCTCAAAGCAGAATCGTGAAATACCTTTTTTTTCCTCCAAAACTCATTCCAAAGAGGACTAGTTGTTTGAGTGTGTGGTCCCCGGTGCGAGTCTAAACTGACATTCTTTAAAGTCTGATTGGATTGCAGATCTCYCCTTTTGTCGTTCCTTCGGTGTTTGTTGGCTTTCACCCTCAGAGTTAGATTTCCGTTTTCACACTTGTTACTAAACCCAGCTCCTTCCACTGCACGCTGTCTCCAATATGTCGCATGTGAGGCCAGGAGGCTCCGGCTGGTGGTGTGTTTCTGTGTGTGTGTGTGTG